TGAAAAATTGCTCTGTTATTTTTCTGTAGTCAGAAAAAAAGAGTGAAAGTGAAGAATGTGCATTTCCTGTGGGATGCCGTGAGTCAGAAAAGGTTGCGAAGCACTGGAATAAATGCTAGTTGGTTTAAAAAAAAAAAAGAAATCAAGGGAGAATCGGATATTATTTTATTTATATTTTTTTTAATAATAGGGCTTTACATTTATAAATCTTCATGTTCTTGGAATCCCTTTTACTATTAGAATGTTGGCTTTATTTGCCAATGACTTCATATTGGGGGAAATAGTTATTCACCTTAATGTGGCAAGAATGATGACTTTAGAAAACAAGTAATGAAGAATTTGAAGGCAAGAAGAAAGAAGTTAGGATTAGTTGCTCCTCTCTTTTTTTTTATAATTGTATTGAAACGCTCATTTTATTTGACTCACAGCTTCCAGGGTGTTTTTCACGATGTCCCACCTTCTCCTCCTACCCCACCCTGTTTTTTTCAGGGTTTTTGTTTTGTTTTGTTTTGTTTTTTGTTGGTGTTTTTTTTTTTTTTTTTTTTTTGCAGTGTCACTTTGGAGTCTGAGGTGTGCAGCCTGGCTGGCATTTTCTTGCTTAGTAAGGGTGAAACCGGGTGCATTGTTGCTTGCACAGAGTTCAGAATTACATTTGGTTTAAGAAGGGTTAGGAAATTATATTAACAGTTCATGGAACTTGCAAAAGGTCTGAGGGTTCCCCTAGGGGTGGCAGAGACTAAACCACATGGATTCCTTTTTGGAGGGTCCTTGAGCTCTGGGTAAGACGTTTTGAAACCTGGTAGAGCTGATGGACTGCTGCATGGTCCCTGTTGTATGGTCCCATCTGTCAAGGTCATCAGTCTATCAGAAGGGAACACCTGGATAGTTTGAATGCTTAGTGTGGCAGTGATAAAATCAGAGTAACTTAAGCATGGCAGCTCCCAGGTGGATATAACGTCGGCTGCACTAGAGCTGACAGGCCAGATGCTTTGCTTTCAGGGTCAAAGCCATTTTTTTGCATAAAGCCAAAAACTACTTATTCATGCCGCTTAGCGTCTCACTGTAATATTTGGAAGGTTGGTCTTGCTGACGGTCTGGGAAACCAGCTATTAGTCATCACTGTCTTTTCTGTTGGGTGTCAGGTGTGTTGATGTTGGTTGCATCTGTGTGCACTCAAGGACTTACAAAATATTTGCATTGCAACAGCTTCGAAATCTAATTCTGCCTTTCCAGTTGGGAAGGGGGGGAGCTGTACTCCGGAGGAATTGTAATGGTTTTTTAGGGTGGCATCTCTAATCAATGCTTCAGAAGCCGCCTTTGTCCCTGTAGTATGCCAAAGACTTGGACTGGATCTCTGGTATGCAAGCTTGTGTTGCTATATATTGTGTAAAAACTGCTGAAGTAACAGTTGCTATGTGGCGAAGTGAATAACTCCTTTGACTTTGTATTGTGGTTGCTTATGCCTTGTCACAGTTTATGGCTTGAAATTTTGATGCATGTCGGGGATCGACGAAAGCGACTTCCACGTAGCGATCCCTGGTAATGTCTCTGGCCAAGAGGTCCTGAATTGACAAAAACGCCAAAGCGCGCGGAGCTAAAGATAGGGACACTGTTTTTTTGTCATTCAAAAGAAGCTGCACACCTAGCTTGTAAATTTACCAGCAGCTCGGAAGTGACTGGCGTAGTCTTGTTGCTGTAGTAGTCCCTTGTAATTAGGGGCCTACGTAACTCAAGGAGGCAGCTGGCCAAATTCACGGGCAGGTCCCGGGGCCAGGTGCCATTTTTGCAGGCTCAGTGTGGCGGGGGTTTGCCTTGTTGCCCCCATACCTCTGGCTGAGGAGCCCTGGTGACCCTGCTCCTCGCTGCCGATTGGTGGAGGGGGACAGGGCCACACAACAGACAGCCCTCTCAGCCAGTTGGCGGAGAGGGGCCAGGGCCAACAGGCAGGGTGCAGGCAGAGATTCCCTGAATTTGTGGTTTCCGCAAAAATCATGTAGTGGCAAATTCAGTAGGTCCCTACTCATCCTAACCCAAATATATATTTTTAATAAAATTAAAATATGCTGTTGTCACTGTTTGGTGCAGGGGAGGGGTTTGATGGTTTTTTTTAGTATACAATTTGTTTTTGATTCCGGTTCCAAGATTGCAAACCCCCTTCCCAAAAGGATTACTTCTCGGGGCAAGGGGAGGGACTAACGGTAGCAAAGGTCAGTGGTTAGGGGCAGGACTTCTGGTCCCAAGATGGTGACGAGGGGGTGGGGCACCTGTCAAGGGGCGGGGCTACTTATGCAGCCCTGGACAGCTCACCAAAACTCCATTAAGTGGCCCTCCACCCGAAATAATTGCCTGTCCCTGGTCTGGAGGATGAAGCAGTACCACCAGATTGGGAGGACAAGAACTGTAAACTAAAGAGTGCATATTAAAGTAGCCAGTGAGAACTTTTTGACAAGTAGATCTTAGAAAAGTTTATTAAAGAGGCCATCCTTAATGGACTGGCCGACGTCAACATCTTAAGGGATAGCCAGCACGGGTTTCTTGCGGGTAGGTCTTGCTTGACCAATCTCATTTCCTTCTATGAGCAGGTGACCTATCACCTGGACAAGGGAGAAGAGATTGATGTCATATATCTTGACTTCAAAAAAGCCTTCGATCTGGTGTCCCATGATCGCCTTTTGGAGAAACTGGCCAATTGTCGCCTTGGGTCCTCCACGATCCGCTGGCTGGAAAATTGGCTCCGGGGTCGGACCCAGAGGGTAGTAATCGATGGAAGTCACTCATCGTGGTGTCCTGTGACCAGTGGGGTCCCCCAAGGCTCTGTCCTTGGACCCATACTGTTCAACATCTTCATTAATGATGTGGACACTGGAGTCAAAGCGGACTGGCCAAGTTCGCCGATGACACCAAACTTGGGGGCAAAGCATCCACACCAGAAGACAGGCAGGTGATCCAGGCTGACCTGGACAGGCTCAGAGAGTGGGCGGACGAGAATCTGATGGTGTTCAACGCCGATAAATGCAAGGTTCTGCAGTGCGATGCGGCGGCTAGTAAAGCGACCAAAACGCTGGCTTGCATCCATAGATGCTTCTCAAGCAAATCCCGGGACGTCATTCTCCCCCTGTACTCGGCCTTAGTGAGGCCGCAGCTGGAGTACTGTGTCCAGTTTTGGGCTCCACAATTCAAAAAGGATGTGGAGAAGCTTGAGAGAGTCCAGAGAAGAGCCACGCGCATGATCAGAGGTCAGGGAAGCAGACCCTACGATGACAGGCTGAGAGCCCTGGGGCTCTTTAGCCTGGAAAAGCGCAGGCTTAGGAGTGATCTGATGGCCACCTACAAGTTTATCAGGGGTGACCACCAGCATCTGGGGGAACGTTTGTTCACCAGAGCGCCCCAAGGGACGACTAGGTCGAATGGTCACAAACTACTACAAGACCGTTTCAGGCTGGACATAAGGAAGAATTTCTTTACTGTCCGAGCCCCCAAGGTCTGGAACAGCCTGCCACCGGAGGTGGTTCAAGCGCCTTCATTGAACACCTTCAGGATGAAACTGGATGCTTATCTTGCTGGGATCTTATGACCCCAGCTGACTTCCTGCCCTTTGGGCGGGGGGCTGGACTCGATGATCTTCCGAGGTCCCTTCCAGCCCTGATGTCTATGAAATCTATGAAGTATTGGACATTAAGTGGCAGTAGCTGGCAATAGTTAACATCAGGCAATAATAGAGAACTTCTTTAAAATCTTTTCTCTTTTGTTCAGAATAACTTGTTATGCCTAGAAAAAGGGTGTTTGGCCTCGTGCACGTGTCTGAAGACTTTTGCAAATGCTGACTTGAGCAGATGGTCAGCTGCATGGGAAGGTGCAGAGCGTAGAGGCCGTTGTGAAATGTAGATGCTTGCCTGCAGTCAAGGGGCCTGTGGTGGGACTTGAAATCTGTTGGGTAACCTTGGCCCAGAATTTAGGATTAAAACACAGGTTGTCAGAACTGGAAAATTTGGATGATTGCGTGCGTGTGTGTGTGTGTGTGTGTGTGTCTGTATACACACATACAAAATATATATTTGTGTGTGTATGTATATATATGTGTAAACAGAAAAAAAGTGCACGTTATTTTAGCTTGGATTTGCTGTTCTCTGGAATGCTTGAGCTCCAGGCAGGGCAGTATTGTGTGCCAGAGTCCTAAAAATACGCTTAATTTGTTTCACTTCTGATCAGCCTTTCACTACTTTCGCTTTGGAATCAGTCACTTCCTCTTGGACCAAATCTGTGCAAAGAGTTAAAACAACCCCTCCCTTCCCCCCACCCCCAGTAAACTTTTTAATTTATAATGTAACAGATCTCGGTAATTCAGAGACATTTTGGATTCTGACTGGATTCATCTGCCCAGGCTTCCAAGGAGTGACGGCTTTCTAAAAATGAGATTCCTATTTATTTAAGGGTGTGGTGACCAAGTTTCTATTGGTCTTAGGAGTTGGGACAGCCTTGTTTAGTCAGCCACATGTGTATTTGGTTTGGGTCACTTTTTTTACAGCTACTTCATGTTCTGCATGCCCAGCAGCATCTTTCCAAAATAGACTCTTTGCTTATGTTGCGAATGAACACACAACATCTGGGTGCCATGACCGCTTCAGCGGCTTATCACTGTTACTGGAAGGTGCTTGGATATTATGGTGATGGGCCTGGCATAAGAAGCTGCACAGAACGGCTCTGGCCGAGGAATAGACTTACCATCTTACTTTTGGGTACTTGTAGGCTACTGTTTATTACCTGTTTGTCCAGTTGTTAATCCATTACTGCTATTTCATGCTCTTCATTTTCATAGCTGGATTAATAATTTCTGAATATTTGAATTGGTTTAATGACAAGAGGCTTCTTCAGACCAGAGATTTTTATTGAATTCTAAGGTTGCTTCTTACAACCTCTTCATAGAACAAAGTGGCTGTTTACCTAACCAGTTACGACCACCTGTTTCTCAACATTTCCCCTTTATTTCCCCCCTCTTTTAGCGACGGCTTCGCCACCTACGGAATATCGCTGCACGGAATATTGTTAATAGGAATGGTTTTCGCCTCCTGGATACCTACTTCACGCTTCACTTGTGTGATAACACCAGGATATATAAAGGTAAAAAAACCCAAAACATAAAAACCTGTTACAGATGTTCTCATTCTCCATCTCTCTATACTACTACAATGCTGTCCTCTGGCATGTTTTTTTAATTGAAATTCAGCATTTCAATGAGTCTCACTACCATTGGGAGACTTGTATTTCATCTGAAAGTACAAGAAAACTTTTCCTGCTGTTAGGAAAAGGAGTAGAACATGTCGCCGGTTCTAATCTGGCTCGTGCAGGTTTCTTTGCTGTGATCCAAGCATTGAACTTGGTCAGCTTGACACTAGCTTTCAATGGCTTGTTCTGTTTAAAGGAGCCAGAACTTGTATGATGGAGCACTGCATTACTGTGCAGTAACTCAGACTATGGTTTTAAAGGCCTGTTCTCCCGCTGCTGGTATATTCTAAGCTTCAGGCATTATTCAGCTGTTGAAAAAGATTAAACTATTGAAGCAGCAGCAGCAGGCACACTCCTCTCCCATGCCATGCCAGCTCTGGAACACACATTCTGCTTCTCCTGCATCTGACCTGGGCTCCTATTGTGCCTGAGTTTGGGGCATAATATATCTTAAGTATTTTCTAAGGTGCTTATCACTGTGGTAACCCTGGTTGAATTCTTCTTGAAATATTTTCTTCAGCTGGAATTCTGCCACTGAAAATTGTTTCCTCACTCCTAGCCTAGTAGCAGCATGACTGCTGAGCATAGCTTTTCAGAAGATTGTGTACGAAGAATGGGTTTTAACCTTCTAGGCTAGGAGTGGGGAAACCATTTTAGTTTTCACTGTTTTAGGTGGGATGCACTGCTTTAAAATAATGGTGGGAACAGCAGCTGTGGTCTTAATGTCGTATGTTCTTATACACGTATGAGACCTGGCAATTGAACGAATTAGACTCTTTCTACACGTCCATTCCCTACCTCTGACACTATTTGAGGATTAAATACCAATAGCTAGAATAGGTTATTAGATTAAACCGGGGTGTCAAATGTTTGTCTTATGGACCAGACCTGGTCAGTAGAGCAGTGTCATTTGGCTTGGTGGTGAGGTGAGTGGGAGGCAGGTCTCACTGCTGAATTTAGGGGCATGGAGCCAAGTCAGGTATGTGTGTCAGTGCCAGGGGGTGAGCAACAGGTGCCTTGACCTTTATGGCTCCCCGATGCTGCTTGCCCCACTGCTGTATCCAGATGTGGCCTGCGAAGAGGGTGGGTGACTAATATGCCTGGACTGAAACAGTTTAGTCTTGATGAAAAGATTCTGCCTAATGCTGCTAAGGCTGAAGATATGTTGCATTCAGCAGGTCACTGTAATGTAGTCAATACACTCTTAAATTATTTTGGATGTGTGACATTAAACTTCCTTTTTAGAAGTGTGCAAGCAGATGGTAATCTTATCTTGCTCCAGACAACATTTATCTGCACTACGTAGTTCAGATTTGCCCCCCTTTTATGGCTTGATTTGTTACTTGCGCTGCATTAAAGGCATATGCATTGGCAGAAATGGTGTTCCTCTGCCTTCTCACCCCCACCTTCCTTTCCCCATATACCCCCTCCTCCCATCCCAGCTCTGCTGTTGCTAGAGCTTCCTTTTTAAACCAGTCCAAGCATGAATTACCTCAACCCAGAGAAATCCCAAACTGTCGTACAGCTGTTTGGGTAGAGCTGACAAGATCTGTGTGTTGCAGCATGTGTCAGCAGGGACAACTGCAGTTTTGCTATCTAGTTCTCGCACAGCATTTCCCAAACTTTTGCTACCTGGGGCACACTTTTTTTAGGTTAAAATTGGCAGTACATTTCACTCCCTTGTACCCAAAAAGGAGGAGTGGGAAAAGCAGTGGCAGCACAGTTGCAGTTTGCAAATGTCTGGTCTCTGGTCCAGACACCCTGGGACTGGGGGTGGAGTTCATGCATCCCTGTGAAACCACAGGGTGCCGGCACCGCTGGGGTGGGGAGTGGAGTGCTCCCTGAATATGGGCATGCATAGCCTCTTGCACCTGGTGGGCTGTGCTGGGACTAGACATTTGCAAACTGCCACTGCCACACCCTAGCTGCACCTGGGGGGACACTACGTCCCAGTCTGTGCCCTGCCCTACATGCAGTGTGTGCCCCCTTCCCCCCAGTAGTAGTGTGCCTGTGGCACACTAGTGCTGGCAATCGCTGTTCTAGCACTTCTGTCGGACACCTGAAGTCCTGCGTGATCCTGGAACATGGTCATTACTCTTCCCTATTTCAGAAAAAGTGTGAAGGTGCTGTCACAAAACCTCACTGTGAGGGCAGTTCAACTTCGGAACAGGCTTCCTAGAGAAGCAGTGGAATTTCCACCCTGGGAAGCTCTCGAGCAGGTCAGACAGACACTTGACTCGGGTGGTTTAGTCGGGGATGATTTTTGCCTTGAGCACAGGGCTGGACTGGATAACCTCAGGAGGTCCCTTCCAGCTCTGCTTTGCTCTGATCCTATGTTGTAACACCCTACTTTCTAGTAACCAAGAAGGTTGTTTGGTGAACTAAGTGTCTTTCAGATCTCAGCAAGAGATCCTAGGTATAGTGTAGCTCGAGGCACTCTCTTCCCCTAATACACAACCCAACTAAACTATTCTAGGTTCAATACATTTTCTTATCTGGTAAGAAGCTGTTCTTGAGTAGAGGCAAAGTGGTAAACTTAAGTGTTGATTTCCAACAAGTTTAAAAACAAGCAGTTAGACTTTTGAGGCCCTGTCTTTAAGTCATAAAATAATTGTTTTAAAATCTGTTTGCTTGAATCTGATTTGGCTCTGGCAGGAGCTGAATCGGCTTCAAGCTAATGCAAGGAAGATGTCTCTGTGGACACTTGAGTTTTAGGACTTGGAATGAACCTATTGCATTTTAGAAAGCCCGGTGTTTGAATTGGAATAAATATTGATGTTGTATCTAAGTTTAAAGTAGGTTTTTTTTTTCTTAGCTCATCCTCCGTTTTGTTTTTTCCTTTCTCTAGAATTTTATCAGAGCGAGGTGATTAAGAACTCTCTGGTAAGTTTTTAATATCAACTGTCTTGCATAAAAATCTGCATGCTTCATTTGTCTCTCGTCACATCTTCTATTATTACATTGTATTCAGAAGACAACACCTGAAACAATTCTTGCTTCCATTTTCCAGACCAGATGTAATTGTGGTGTTTACTCTTGAAAATTCACAGACTATAAAAGGGAAGGGGCAGTGCTTTAGTGTAATAACTTCAGGCTATCAGGAACACATTAACAACTTAATGAGCGCGTCTACACATCACCCTGTATCGCTGTTTGGTGTGCTGTAGCAATATAGCGATCACATGAGTCTACACATGATCAGCAGCTACTTTGCTGTAGCAGCGTGCTTCCCTTTTAGCGTCTCACTATAATGTAGTGGCAAAATCTAACTGTGTGCATGGCACAGTATGGGCTTTTACTGTGCCGTGCTCTAGTACTTCCAAAAGGAAGTACAGTAAAAGCTCCGTTATCCGGCATAATGTGGGATGCCGGATAACAAAATATGCCAGTTAATTTAGCTGTCCGGGCCACCGCTTTTCTCGCTGCGTCTGAGGTGTCCCACTGCCCCTCCTGCTGCATGGGCCCCATGGGACAGGGAGGCGGGCCCTGCACAGCCTGTTATGCCCCCGGGCCGTGGGGGCTTGGAGAAACCGGAAGTGCCATGGTGGGCACTTCCAATTTCACTATATCTTACAAGCTGGCGTGCCGGTTAATTGAGCGTGCCAGCTTGTAAGATGCTGGTTAACAGAACGTTTACTGTACTAAAGCACCAAAAGGAAGTACTAAAGCACGGCGCCATAGCAACGTCGCCATATGGCGACATGTAGATGCGCCTAGTGTCATGTAAGTCTGAACTCATTACTATGGTTACAAGCCATGTTGGGGGTTACTAACTGAATGGTTTGAGAAATCTCTTGTACCTTTTGACAGCATTTTTTTTTATAGTTGGTTTGTTGCACCTGTCAACAGCAGAGGAAAGTGGTTTTTAAAAGAAATCCCACATTGCAATTGGAAAACCGTGGAAACTAGCCAAGGGATATAGAGCACATGTATAAAATAACCTAGCTCACTTCAGATTCTCCATAGTTTTCAAGTTTAGCTGGGCACTTAAGATGCAGCATTGCTAGGGATCTTCTGCCCAACCACTCAACTGTGAGTATACAGCAATGGTGAGATACTTTTGAGTGCAAGGTCCTCAGCCCTATTAATAATTTCTAAAGATATGATCCCAAAGCCTTGATACGTACGCTCTCCTGCTTCACGTTAGGCTGAAGTCCTACCCTGGAATATTGAAGAGATTTTCTTTGTTGCTGCCCAAGGTGATTCTTGATTCAGGTTGGCAAGATGTAGCACGTGGATATGGCCTCTTGGTTAGGTAGTTCTGCCTGAATAGTTGGCTTTCCTCCTGGGCCTAACTGTCTTTAGGATAAGTGACTGTCTGCTGTCCCTTTGATTAGGATAATTTAATTTCCACAACAGGCCTTTAAGAAGGGTGTGTCATACTTCAAAATAGCTTAATTGGGAAAGAAAATAACAGTTTTGTCCCTGTTCCAAGCCCTCTTCAAATGGATTGAAATACCTAGAAGCTGAATTATTGAGTGGCAGTAACATTTCAGCAAATTACACTTTTTGGAAGTATTTTTGCTTTGGCATATTAGTCGCATCAACAAGACAGCGTTCTCTTGGCCAATTGCTTTTAGTTTGGAAGGAAGTAAAGCCTTCTTGCAAACTTATTAAAGAGTTGAAAAGGGTAAATTTGTCTGGTAAGCTGTAAATCTAGCAGATGGTTTTAGTACTAGTCTGACTGTTTCACTATCTAGATGAGAATTGGTTATGGTTATGATACATACCAGCGCCAGCAATTGGAATAACTTGCCAAGCCCTACAGAAACCTTTTTCTTAAAGGAAACAAGTAACAAGACTCAGAACTTGGCTCATATTTTTGATGGTTGGCAGTAAAGTCCACACAGCATTTTTGCTTTCCTTGCTTCTAGCCTCCCAGAACAAGTTATCCAGTGCTTAATTTTTCTACTCCCTGAAATGACCGTGTATTAGAAGTAGCAGCCTAGCATTCGCATGGCATGCTATAGATATCCACAAACGTGGAGAGAGAATTCAGTAAGACAGATTTTAAGTTTAACTTTTTGTTTTTGGTCATAACAGCTTCTTTAGACATGTCATTTGCCGTAATTTCTAGGAATTTGAGATTTAGAGCTTTTGAAAGTATTTGACGACTGGAGGCAAACTGCATTGAAACCCTTGCATATAGGTGAACGTTATGGAACGTCATCTTGTGTATGCAAGCACAGTAAGCTGTGAAGCGTATAGGTCCAGAAACGGTTTCCATTGCCTGGGTTTCAGTGTCAGCAGCCTGTAGATAGCTTCTGTGTAGCCAGAAGTTTATAAACTAGCATCGGATCCTGTAACCTTCCTGCAAAGTGTTCTCTACGTGCTGAATGTGGGCGGAGGGGGAGCTGGGGGCATGTATTTAGGGGTGCACCAATTTAAAGATTTTCTTGGCTGACACTGATAGCAGATTATTAACAAGCCATATTGGCCAATGCTGATCTGATAGTTGATTTACAGGAATGCAGCCCGGCAGCTTGGAGAGCACCCATGAAAACCCATGCCCACGCTATTGGTAGCAATTTATCATTTTGCTGCCTTGCTTTAGTTAGAGCCCCACTTGATTACCGAAGCTCCACTTTGCACCTTAAGCAGCACCCATGAAAAATTTCTAGTTAACTGCCACCTTCCCTACCAGCATTATGCTTCCTTTTGTACAAGCTGCTATCAGATCTGCAGACAGCACCTTTTTCTTTCGGAAATATTGAAGTGAGTATGGGGTAAAGCAGGGCTGTCCAGCTGGTGGCTTGCAAGGGGTTAACAAGTGGCTGATGGACTCATGCCTGGCTACCATTCCCCCCACCATGGTTGGGGTTTCTGGGGGATTTCTTACCTGTCTGGTGATAGCAGCTCTATGGCTGGGGTCCAGGGAGCTTGCACCTGCCCCTGCATGCAGTCCACATGGTGTTTGGCCTGGGGCTGTTGACTGTTGAAATTAGACAGCCCTGGGGTGATGGATGTTTCTGTAATCACTTGTTGGGTGAAAAAAGGATCCTCTGGATGTTTCTTGCTCTGACTTGCTAATAACCAGCTGTGCGTGTTTAACTTGTCAGACTGCCTAAGCACCAGAAAGCAAGGCTTGCATGGCTTTCATTTCACCTGCCGTCTAAGTTGTGCCTTGTCCAGTTACAACTGTTTTCAATTGCTGCTTAGGAATAAGACCACTATGATTATTCAGTTCTTGGGACACCTGAAACCTTCAGAAACTGCATTCTTTAGACTCCTGCCAGATTAGCTCCCCTGGATTTCATCTGTGCTCTCGCATTTCCACTGAGTTCTGGACTGGCTTGCCTCTCCACCTTTTTAAAATGAAAAAGTGCTGTTGAGGGTGACAGCACTTGGGGTTTGGCATGGGTGACTGGTGCTTCCCGAGTCGGGTGGGGGTGGGGCGCCAGAAGTTGTTGGCAGCAGGGATGGGGCTGGCGAGCAACCGCAGAAGCTGCTGTCGGGGATGGGGACTGGGCTGGCAGGCAACTGCAGAAGCTGCCAATGGGGATGGGGCTGGCGAGCACCCGCAGAAGCCGCCACTAGCGGCAGGGGCAGCCCTGTCGGGGGGGCATGTGCCCCCCCACGTCAGTTGTCTATGGGGTTTGGTCAGCGTGGCACAGTTCTGGGGGAGGAGTGGGAGGGGAAAATGAGCAACTGTTATTTGCTGACACGTTCAGTTAATGAGGAGCAAATTAGTGTTTAATGTTAACTACACTGCCTTGTTTCAAAACCAAACAATAAAACATGGAATGGAGCAGTGTCTTTTCATGACTCCTGTTTTCTTAAATACCATTTTTCCCCATCAATTTGGAAAAAGTTTGTGTTTGTTCTGGCAACATGCAGTGGAGAGGTCATTTCCTAGCTTCTGGAAGGAAAGAGATGCGGGTTGGAATGTCTGGATTTGTCGTAGAGGAATATGGGAGCCAGCCTAGGAAGCTGGTTGAGGAGGGAAGGCTTGAATTACGAGGAAGAGTCTGATGGCTTTGCATAGCTCGAACATCAGACTAGCAGGGTTTTACTTCAGTCCTTGCAGGCTGGAAGCTGGACTCGTATATTCAGCCCTTCTTACAGTTTAAAAACTACAGATCATATGAACGTGCAATGATTTGGTTGTTCTTACATCTTTATTTTGGACACTAACAGAATCCAACATGGAGGAGTCTTGACTTCGGACTAATGCCTGATCGCCTTGATACATCGGTGTCGTGCTTTGTGGTGCGGATCTGGGGTGGCAAGAAAGAGCATTATCAGATGTTGATTGAGTGGAAGGTCAATCTGGATGGACTGAAATACTTGGGTCAACAGGTAAAAAAAAAACAAAAAACAAAAAAAAACACGTTTTTTCTTAACCAGTAGATTGGGTAGCTAAAGGCTTGTGTTATGTAGAAGTAGTAAGTGGAAAAAGCCATCTATAGCAGCCTGGGGAAGAGAGAGCTAATGGGTAATGAGCACCATACTTTGAATTATGGCATAAAACTAGTAATTAAGACCCTGCTAGTATGTATAGATCAATCCATTGCAAGGGAGCGATAATTAGGGCTGGCACATGTTGTTAGACACTTTAAAGTGACTTAAGTTGCATTGTTTGTGTGAGTCTGTTAACAGCGGCCATAGTGGAGAAACTGTGGTATGGTGTTGTGTGTTTGTGTATGTAAAATATGGTCCAATATCTCTGTGCTTCTGTACACATCAAGACGTTAATTTAATGCAGCGATTGAATGTCCATAGTGCCCTTTGTTCTAAAGAATAAGACGAGATGATGCTACTAATCCTGAGAATTTTTCTTGTGCTTGTCCATTTCTGAAATACTGAGATGGAGAGGTCAGTTAGTCATAGAAATTTAGGGGTGGAAGGGACCTCAGGAGGTCACATCTAGTCCAACCCTCTGCTCAAAGCAGGACCAGCCCCCACTAAACCATCCCAGCCAGAAACAGTCAGACAGCAGCTGTCTGACGTGGACTTGCTCTCCGTGAACGTTATAGGTAAAGCATAATTTTTAGTCATTACCTTTTGTATAATGCAAGTCCTTGAGCATGTGAGCTTGCATTACGACATCTAACGGATATAGAAAAATAGTACCTAATGCTGTATCTCCTGAAGTGAATGGAAGGTGTCTACACACAGGTGCTGTTTTTAAAGTAATCTCAGATGGATATATTGCTGTTTCCTATTGCTTCAAGGAGATTCTTTTTAGAATGAGAGCACTTAAGGAGTTCTTTGAAAAGTCAGTCCTCTAAAACGTTGGAAATGAAGTCACTTGTTCTGGAATCTGGTTCTTTTGCTGCACAAAATGCAATTTTCAGTCTCATGTTTCTGTCCTAATAGAGTAAGCAAAGGGATGTCTGGAGAATGTTCTAATACTGGCTCTCTAGTTTATAAGTCACTACTTCACTATAGATAACTCACTATAGCATCGATTTTTTTTTTTTTTTTTTTTTTTTTTTTGTGTGCTCAACTGTAAGCTGCAGAGCATATGGTCTAATTCTGAGTAAAGTCTTCTGAAAACTAGCTCCTTCTATAACTAAGCAGCTTCTGAGCAGCTGCTTTGATCTTTATTTATTTATTTATTTTTTTAGTATTTTCAGTCTTTCTTTTACTATGTATTCTGGCCCTGGAAAGGAAGAAAGCTTGTTTGTGGATATGGTGTCTGTAATGAGACAGGATGCCACAGAGTAATTAATATAACTATTAATTTTCACTTTGCACCATGGAAAGTAGGGGAGTACCACAAACAGTAGCTGAATACTCGGTCACTCAGCATTTGGAACTGGGGAAGTCAATAAAGTTTACAGCAGAAAAGGTGCCTCTAGCTGTCACAGAAACAGCAATTGAATATTATTCTTGTATTCTGGAATTTTAAGTTGGCCTTAATGTAATTCTCTTCTTGTTTTACAGATACATGCCCGAAATCCAAATGAAATCATTTTTGGTTTGAATGATGGTTATTATGGCGCTTCATTTGAACAGAAGGTAATAATGCTTGCTAGTTATGCACACTACTTAGTACGCTTGGAATTTAAATCTCACCAAGTGAGTAATAGCCTAGGTTGGAATTTTTAGTGTGGACGTGGAAATGTTAAGCCTTTAAATGAAAGTGGAAATTTACTTTCAGCTCCTTCTAGAAAATTATGGTGTTTTGAATAGATGACATCATTTCCAACAGTGCTGAGTTATCTTTCTTCCATATTTTTTAGCCAGGTGCTTACCTTTAGACATTCATGGTTCAATACTGTAGCAAGTCTTACTATCCAGTTAGAATCTTGGCTTTTGAGTCACCAGCTTTAGTTTCCTAGCGATTTAATGGAACTGATTGCAACCAGGTCTTGGCTTGTCAGTGGCCATTCCTCCCTCATATAAAGAGAGGAAAATAAGCAAGTTAAAAATAAAGTACTTATCCCTTCCCTGTTAGTAGTCATGTATCAGCTGAATCAGGGAATTCTTTACAGCAGTACAGAGCATACATGCTAGTACACTAAGGTACAGTTACAAAACAGGCCAATTATTCATTTCTCTGAACTTGTCTGCAATGAAGTTTCTGTTGCAACATCCTTACAACAAGAATTATCAGTTGTGCATCTTGCACCTAAATGGAATTTCAGTATTGATGTAGTATTGTTGCCAGCACAGTTTCAAATGTTAACTCTTCTGCTTGTCTAAATTGGAGAAGCATTTAAGCAGTCATTCCTGAATTATGGTATGTACGCTACACTGTTCGTGGCCTCCCTTTTCAGGTTTTATGCCTGGTGGGCCATAAAACCTGAGGGTTGATTATGAAAGTGGTCCCCTGGTCTAATAACGTTGTGGTTCCCAACCCTGGAGTATTTAAGTCAATAGGCAGAAAACGGCCACGACACTTAGGAGGCCTGCATCACTGCCAGTGCACACACAACTACCAGTAACAAACCTAAACCTCCACATATGCCAAACCCAGAGTTCAGGTGAAGCTGCCCTGCTGCAGCTCTCTAGTGCACGAGGGACTGAAACTAGCAGCAGGGGGCAGTCCTGGAGCATCCTCACTGTCTCCACGGCAGGTTTGGAACATGTGGGCAAGGCTTAGGTTTTTGTCAACAGTCTCAAGGACACTATAGAGGCCGTGTAGACTGCCCTTATGGTTAGGAAAAAGCGGCTTTAAACTTTTAAGGTGACCAGATTACACCAGTTATAAAAGTTGTTAAGCTATATCATCATCTAATATACATGTATATTTAAAGCTAATCTTCAGGCTTAATAGCTAGTTAAAACAGACTTTAGCTTCAAGTTTTGGTTTGTTTTGTAAAGACATTTCATGCAAGCAAATGCCGCTTGCTATTTTAATGGAGGCTGTAAGCACTGCATAATTAGAAGCAACAATGAAAATCAGTAAAAGCTTTTTTGGAAACGAGACTCAAGCTGTAAAACACTTTGGAAATTGATTCTGTTAGAGAATTTCAGGCCTGCAGGGCACCTTAAAGCTCATCTAGTCCAGCCTCTTTCAGAGATTTGGGATCTGCTTTTCCTCAACCTTCCCAGCTAAATGCCTATTCAGCCCCTTGAAAAAGAAATTTTGATCTTCCAACTTGTTCTCTACTCCATCTTCTCTTATGGTAGTGGGCACTGAGTCTTCCACCTGGAGTTGTGGCCTCAGGCCCTCTAATGTGGAGACATGCAAGGTGACTTCTTGTGGGCTTTTCCCTGTCCTTACTTGCCTGTCTTACCAGTCAGGTCTTGACTACTCTGCAAAGGTAGCCTGTCAGAATGTGTTTCAGGATATCTCTGGCAAGATGGGCTCCTTTGGCTTGCAGGCACAACTTGCTATACCTGGTGACTGTGTTGAATAGTGCAGTGGATAGAAGAGGGAGACGCTTATGGGGTGAGGGTAGTGGGGGAATGACCCCTCCTTAATTAATGAAGTTGGAGGTTCCCCCTTCCTTTTCACAGTGTGGTTTGTGCAGACTGCTGAGGGTAGCAAGTCAGTCTTCCTTTTGGCTCCTGCTTTTTGTCATGGGGCACCAGAAGCTAGTTACCAGGATGGAGTCTTGTAGCAGGATGGGTCGAGTAGATGGGCTCTGGCATGCTCATACTGATGTGATGCTTTCCCTTCTTGAAGCTCCTTCTTCTCAGTTCCCTTCCTATTCTGAAACCATAGCATGTCTGAGAAGGACTGACATGAAACAAAACTTACTGGACAGCATCAATGTGGTGGCATTCAGGCCATGCAGGTCTCCTGCTTTGTGTTAGTCCTTCAGTCACAGACTTGGATGAGGAGGTCTTCCTTTTCAAGGTCTTTCCAAAGATGGATCTTGCTCTTCAAACATGCAGCACCTTGTGAAAGAAAGTGAGAAGCTGAAGAAAGAATATTTCCTTTGGAGATGTTGCCCAATAACACTTGTTGTATTGGTGTCTAGATATTTAGAACATATCTTAATTTACTGTATTGTCAGTGTTGGGTGAGCTCTGGTGTAGTGTGTATTTTCAGTGGCAAGATGAAGTCCCTTCCACTTATCTACTAGGGGCCAGGGCAGCTCTGCCTGAGGACTTCAAAGCACTTTACTATTAGCTAAGCCATAATGTGGGCTTTTGAGGAAAAGAGGGCATAGAGATAGGAACTGCATCTCCCTCACCAAAGCACAGCTTTTTCTGTTACGGAAAGCATTTAACCATGTGCTGAAAACTTAGCGGCTCTTTCCTTCTCTTTCTCTGTCTCCAGTATCAAATGGAAACCGCTTCAGGGACCTGGAAGTTCTGACCCTGGTTTAAAAAAATGTTTAGTATATTTAATGGCACTGTCAAGCCCTTCATCCAAAGCTGTCTGACTATTGTGTTGTGCAACACAATGCTGTAATCCTGAGCGGGAGCACTGCATTGTTACTGACTCTGCAGAACAAGCTGTGAATGTGCCTGACCTGACCTGACTTGGAATGGTCTGAAGGCTGACAATTGCTGCACAAGGCAGTCATGGGCAAAATGAGAAAGGCACAAGTTTCTGTGCCAGTAAGATCTGGCTCATCAGGAGTCCAACATTTCTAGGATGCTTCCATGTCTTCCTTGGGAGACTACTTCTGTGACTCTCTTATAAGTATTTATGGGAGAGGATAAGCAATGGCATTTATGACCTGCTGTTTTAGTGTCAGACATGAGGACAGGTTTTCTTTCGAGACTGTATGGAAGTCTCACTGTATTCAGTGTTCAGAGCTGAAGCTGGAGGTTTCAGTGAATGACATTGGGACGTTTAACATGTCTTTGCATAAACAGTATTAGACGACTTGTGTGACAAAGGATTACACAAGTAGCAGCGGAAGACTAAAACTTGTCTGCAAGTAGCCCTTGTTGTTAGCTGTTAACTTTAAACTCCACGCGCTCCCACACTGAGCCGGTGCATACCCAGAAGAAGCATCACATTAGTTGGACCTGGCTCACCCAATGTCTGTATAAATCAGGCACTGTAGTGGGGCTTTTTGGTACTTTTATCTAATAGCTAATTCAATTAGCTATTAGATAAAAGCACCAAAAAGCCCTGCTGAAGCACCCAATCTCTATAGGTGCTATAGAGCTGGGTCGAAGTAATGTGCTGCTGCTTCTAGTAAAGCACATTATTTCTTTGTTAATGTCTGCAAGCAGCCTAAATGTATTAAGCCTAACTACAAGTTGTATGGTCTAGCTTGTGCAGTTTTCTCCTTAGTGCTCATGGGTACTTGTCACACGTGTCCACCACGACTGTTTTGATAGTTGCACTGGTGTTCAGAAAATGCAGATTCGTCTTCTAAGAAGAAGGAAAAAATGACTCTCCTCTCTCTTTGCCTTCAGGATCACTCAGGTACCCAGAAGAATAGTCTTCTCCAGGTGGATCAGAATTGTGTTCGTAACTCTTATGACGTCTTCTCTCTGCTTAGGTAAGGCTTCTTGTTTTTGGAATAATCCTGTACAACTTGTTGAACTGCTCAGTGTATGAGGAAATGAAATATATAACCTTTTTAAAAAAGGGAACTGTTTCTGGACTGAAACGCACTTTAGGGAAGTGCCTAACTGGTGCAGCGTTATTACTGCTAGTAACCTGGGAGGAGCACTAGCCATCAGGAGGGCACTTGTCTTTACCCCAGTGTCATTAAACCTCATAAACCTCTGTGTAACAGAGATTTAAAGGCAAGCCAGCCTGTGTAGCTTGCAGTCCCAGAGCCCTGTGCATTCCACATCCAACAGCTATGGAATCTACTTCCTGTGCTAAGCTCTGCAGAAAGCCCCTTGTCTGCTCCGCTCCACAAAGTGAAAGCAGATGAAACTAATTTAAAAAAAAATTGTCCATAAAAAGTACCCTGGCTCTTTCTAAAGCAGGGTTTGGCAACAAATGACCTGCGTGCTCAGTCTGGCCTGTGGAACTGCAGGTCTTTGCCTTTGCCCATAGCCATGCTGGGGCTGAGCAGTAAGGAGCAGCGCAGGGGCCAGGGAGCTGGAAGCTATGCCTGCACTGCTGCAACTGCTATCCCTGCCCCCTCCCACTTCACAGCCATGTCTATGCTGCATCCTTGGGGGAGTTGGAAGCTGTGCACATATTGCTGTCACTTCCCACTGTACCCTGCTCTACCACTTCTCTCCCCTGCTGCTTGGCTGAGGTGGGAGCACAGCTTCCAGCCAAAGGGGAGCTGTGCTGGTCCTCAGCTGGATAGTGGGGTGAGGGGGGTTTGGAGAAGCTACACTTGGATCACACCTAGGAGGGGGAGCAGGGGGCTGGGAGAAGTCGACATGGTTTGGACACGGATCATAGTTGCATGATTCTGGCAGGGGCAGTGTTGTTTTTCCTCTGCACTGCTGAAGCCACCAGGTCTGCACTAGGTTGGAGCTGGATTGTTCAGGCCTGTGGCTTGAAAATGGTTACCAGCCCCTTTTCTTAAGTATTAGAGGGATGGGATAATGCAGTAGCCAGAAGAAAAATAGTGCTGTTTAGTTCTCACATTCTTCTGATGACTGACTGACTTGCGCTCACCTTGGGAATGGATCCACATGGTGAGCCACATGGACACAGCAGATTTCCTGTCGAAGTATTTTGGATTTCTGGTACTCTGTATGGGTACAGAAGTCTCCCTCTGTCAATCACAGTGCAGAATGGGGACTTTATTTTCCATCACGTACTTTATATGACTCAGTGGGGAAAGTTAAGGTCAAACAAGCAGGACGAATTGGAAGTCCCTGCACAGTCACAGAACTATGATGTGATCGGGATCGCAGGGACTGGGTGGGAGCTCGCGTGCCTGGAGCAGTGTCGCTGATGGAGGTCACTGGGGAGAGCAACAAGGGTGGTGTCGTGGTGGCTGTGTTATAGACTGTTACCGTGTGGGGGCAGTAAAGTGACAAGGCCGAAGGGTACAGCTCGTTAGGAGTTGGAATGTAGGAGTGCGAAGGGTAAGTACTGAGGAGATTTCTGAGGAGGGTATTATTAACCATTAAGCTTCCTTTATTACACACAATGTATTAACTAATTTACCACTCCTTAGATCGCTTGTACAACTACTTAGCTTTCATAAACCATACGAAACAAAACATACACAAACACACAAAATACAAGAGAAATTGTTGCTCCTGTTTCTGTTGATAATAATACTACAGAAAAGGGATTACAAGGACAGTTTCAGGTTACAATTACTTTACTGATTTCAGGATTATCTGTATTATTCATATTTCATACTTGCCACGCCAACAGGTGTAGCATACTTGGTTATTCTATTCTGTTACCAAGTCAGACGAGGTATTGCTGGCTTGGTGGTCCGTGGCTTTCAGACGAGACGACTTGTTCACTTAGAGCGAGAGATTTGTCTCGGGGACTCTGTGCAGTTGATCAGGCTGCAACGCGAACTACTTGCGATTCTTCCTTCGATGCTCTGCAAGTGAGTTCTCCTCTGAATTGGGATCACTTATGCTCGGTTTATATGGAGTGATTTGGCGTCATGGCCCCCTCCTACTCCGCCTCGCCATAAGTCCCATATTCGGGTGCGGATGCAGCATCTAGTGCCCCGTATTTGGGTGTGGATGCAGCATCTAGTGCATGCCCGTTTCACTCCACTGACCCAGTTTTGAGCAATTTTTCCTGGTCCGAGCCAGTTTTGGGACTTTCCAATTGCTCTAAAGTAACCCTGTATGCTCACACCTGATTGGTGGATTAAGTTTCATTCTGTTATCTTAAGTTTTGTTTTACTATGAATCACTTACACTTACTTTATGTCTCATTTCTATATATTTATATTCAGGCTCTTTCAACAATGGCTAATAGGCAACACACTTATTACTATGGCATAGACCACCAGACCAGGAGGATGAGGTTTTTGAGGCTTTCTTCAAACAGCTAGCAGAAGTTTCCCCATCACAGGCCCTGATTCTCATAGGGGTCTTCAGTCACCTGCTGGGAGGGCAATACAGCAGTGCTCAGGAAATCCAGGACGTTTTTTGGAGAGTGTTGGAGACAACTTCCTGGTGCTGAGAGGCCACTAGGAGCCATGCCCTTCTTGACCTGCAGCTCCCAAATAGGGAAGACTTGGTGGAGAATGTAGAAGTGGATGACAACTTGGGCACAGTGACCATGAGATGATTGAGCTCAGGCTCCTGAGGAAAAGGAGAGCAGCTGAGTAAGGACCCTGAACTTCAAAAAAGCAGACTTCAGCTCCCTCAGGGAACTGATGGGCAGGATCCCCTGGGAAGCCAGGCTGGGGTGGGAAGGGAAGGGACTGCAGCAGAGCTGGGTGTATTTTAAAGAAACCTTACTGACGTCCTAAAGACGGGAAGACTAGCAGGGAACTCTTCAGGGAGCTAAAATACAAAACAGAAGCTTATAAGAAGTGGAAACTTGGGCAAACAACTAGGGGGGGGCGTATAAGAGCATTGCTCGGGCATGCAGGGATGAAATCAGGAAGGTCAAAGTGTAATTGGGGTTGCAGCTAGCAAGGGACGTGAAGGGTAACAAGAAGGGTTTCTACAAGTACGTCAGCAACAAGAGGAAGGTCAGGGAAAACGTGGGTCCCTTACTTTTGGGGGAGACTACCTAGTGACAGATGATGAGGAAAAGGCTGAAGTACTCAGTGCCTCTTTTTACCTCCATTTTTACAGGCAAAAAGGTCCCAGACTACTGTACCTGGCAGCACAGTTTGGGGAAGAGGTGAGCAGCTGACAGGGACTATTTAGGAAAGCAGGAGGGGTACAAATTCATGGGGCTAGACGCGATGCACCTGAGGGTGCTGAGGGAGTTTGACTGATGTGGTTACAGAGCCGCTGGCTATTATTTTTGACAATTTGTGATGATTGGGAGAGGTCCCACACTATTGGAAACGGGCAAGTATAGTGCTTATCTTGAAGAAAAGGAAGATCTGGGGAACTACAGGCCAGTCATCCTCGCCTCGGTCCCTGGAAAAATCATGGTGCAGATCCTCAAGGAATCCATTTCTAAGCACTGGAGGAGAAGGTGTTGGGAACAGCCGGCATGGATTCACCAAGGGCAAGTCATGTCTGACCAACGTGATTGCCTTATGAGATCAATGGCTCTGTGGATGTGGGGAGACCAGGTGGATGTGTGGTGTACCTTGATTTTTATTTATTTATTTATTTATTTTTAAATTTAAAAAAATTTTTTAAGCAAGGCTTCTGATTACGATCTCTCACAACATTCCCAAGCTCAGGAAGTACTGGCTGGATGAAGGGACTGTAAGGTGGATAGAAAAGTGGCTGGAGCATGGGTCTCAGAGGATAGTAATCAATGGCTTAAGGTCTAGTTGACAGCCAGTATCAAGTGGAGTGCCCCAGGGTTTGGACCTGGGTCCAGCTTTGTTCAATATCTCTTTATCAATGACCTGGAAGATGGGATGGAGTGCGCCCTCAGCAAGTTCAGGGAGGGAAGGGAGGGACAGGCTGCAACGAGACCTGGACAGGTTACAGGGGTGGGTGGATGAGAATAGGATAGATTTCATAGATTTCATAGACATTAGGGCTGGAAGGGACCTCAGAAGATCGAGTCCAGCCCCCTGCCCAAAGGGCAGGAAGTCAGCTGGGGTCATAGGATCCCAGCAAGATAAGCATCCAGTTTCATCTTGAAGGTGTTCAGTGAAGGCGCTTGAACCACCTCCGGTGGCAGGCTGTTCCAGACCTTGGGGGCTCGGACAGTAAAGAAGTTCTTCCTTATGTCCAGCCTGAAACGATCTTGAAGTAGTTTGTGACCATTCGACCTCGTCATCCCTTGGGGTGCTCTGGTGAACAAACGTTCCCCCAGATGCTGGTGGTCACCCCTGATAAACTTGTAGGTGGCCATCAGATCACCCCTGAGCCTGCGCTTTTTCAGGCTAAAGAGCCCCAGGGCTCTCAGCCTGTCATCGTAGGGTCTGCTTCCCTGACCTCTGATCATGCGCGTGGCTCTTCTCTGGACTCTCTCAAGCTTCTCCACATCCTTTTTGAATTGTGGAGCCCAAAACTGGACGCAGTACTCCAGCTGCGGCCTCACCAAGGCCGAGTACAGGGGGAGAATGACGTCCCAGGATTTGTTTGAGAAGTATCTATGGATGCAAGCCAGCGTTTTGGCCTTCATTTGGCAGTATAGGATTCAATACTGACAAGTGCAAGGTGCTGCACCTGGGGAGAGAGAACCAGCAGCAGACCTACAGGCTGGGGAACTCCCTTCTCATCAGTGCAGAGGCAGAAAAGGATCTTGATGTCGTTATTGATTCCAAGATGAACATGGGCTGCCAATGTGAGGACGCAGTCAAGGAAGGCTAACTGCACCTTGTCATGCATCCACAGATGCATCACGAGCAGGTCCAAGGAGGTGATCCTCCCCTCTACGCAACACTGGTCAGGCCGCAGTTGGAGTACTGCATCCAGTTCTGGATGCTGCACTTCAGGAGGGATGTGGCCAGCATCGAGA